ACAAATCATTCTTTACTGTGACCTGTGGGCCTTGTGTATATAAGAATTGAAAGAAATATCTTACATATGCATGTTTGCTATAGGTTTTGGGAAGACAGAATTTCATGGTATCTCTTTTATCTTTCCTTGAATGCAGTGGACCTAAAATATTTTTTTTAAGTGCACACTTTGAATTATTATTATTTAACTGTTTGAAAATTTCCGTCTGCTTGTACTCCATCTGTATGCCATATATTTAAACTTGTCTATGCCATCGTTCCACAGGAGGGAACAAACAAACAAACAAACATGAAATTGCTCTATTGTAGATTAAACTGTGGTGTTGAGGTCACAGGATTAGCAATTTCAGCATTCTAAGCAAGTATCCTTTTACTTGCTAGATTACAATTGTTTCAAGGGTGGCAAAAAAAAAACCTTTCCACAACACATGCCAAAATTTGAGACCATAGCAGGACCCTGTAAGGTACAACAGAATCCACACACTGGTGTCAGTTTGCTTTGGAGAGACAAGAGAAAGTTCAAGATTTCTCAGAAGAAATAGTACCTATTTACCCTCTATTTTACTATAACACCAAATAAGATGTAATTTTAGAAGCTTCTTAAAACACCCCCTACATAAAATATCTCTAGCTGATTTGTAGTTGTATTTAATGTTTATTTATTTAATTACTGCAAAAACATAATGGCCTTAAGAAAACATTAACTTCTGACTATACAGAAGTTTAATTACTGTCAATACCAAAAAAATGAAGAACAATTTTTAGTGCTATTTATAGCCAGCAAATTTGAAAAACTCAGCAGTGGCCACAGGACTGGACAAGGTCAATTTTCTTTCTAATCCCAAAGAAGGGCAATGCCAAAGAATGTTCAAACTACTGTACAAGTGAACTAAAATACTAGCATATGACCTTATGTGCTCATAAGGTAATGTTCAAAATGCTTGAAGCTAGGTTTTAGCAGTATATGAATTGAGAATTTCCAGATGTACAAGCTGGATGTAGAAAAGGCAGAGGAATCAGAAATCAAATTGCCAACATCTGCTGGATCATAGAAAAAGCAAGGAAATTTCAAAGCAACATCTACTTCTCTTCATTGACTGTACTAAAGCCTTTGAGTGTATGGATCACAGCAAACTGGAATATTCTGAAAGAATGGGAATACCAGACCACCTCACCTGCCTCCTAAGAAACCTGTATGCAGGAAAAGAAGCAACAGTTAGAAGTGGACATGGAACAATGGACTAGTTCCAAATCGGGAAAGGAGTATGTCAAGGCTGTATATTGTCACCCTGCTTATTTAACTTATATGCAGAGTACATCATGTGACATGCAGGGCTGATGACTCATAGGCTGGAATCAAGATTGCTGGGAGAAATATCAACAACCTCAGATATGCAGATGATAACACTTTAATGTCAGAAAGAAAGGAGGAACAAAACAACCTCTTGATGAAGGTGAAAGAGGAGAGTGAAAAAGTTGGCTTAAAACGAAACATTCAAAAAACTAAGATCATGGCATCTGGTCCCATCACTTCATGGCAAATAGATGGGAAGAAAAATGGAAACAGTGACAGGTTTTATTTTCTTGGGCTCCAAAATTACTGCGGGTGGTGACTGCAGTCATGAAATTAAAAGACACTTGCTCCTTGGAAGAAAAGCTACGACAAACATAGACAATGTATTAGAAAGAAGAGTTATCACTTTACGCTTGATATTTCCCAGCATCAGGGTCTTTTCCAGTGAGTCAGCTCTTCACATCAGGTGGCCAAAGTATTGGAGATTCAGGGTCAGCATCAGTTCTTCCAATCAATATTCAGGGTTTATTCCTTTAGGATTGACTGGTTTGATCTCTTTGCAGGCCAAGGGACTCTCAAGAGTCTTCTCCAGCACCACAGTTTGAAATCATCAATTCTTTGGTGCTCAGCCTTTTTTATGTCCAACTTTCACATATGTACATGGCTACTGGAAAAGCCATCATTTTGCTATACAGACTTTTGTCAGCAAAGTGATGTCTCTTTTTTTAAATACACTGTCTAGGTTTGTCATAACTTTTCTTCCAAGGAGCAAGAGTTTTAAGTTCGTGGCTGTAGTCATTGTCTGCAGTGATTTTGGAACCCCCAAAAATCAAGTCTATCAATGTTTCCATTTTTTTCCCATCTGTTTGCTCTGAAGTGATGGAACTGGATGCCATGATCTCAGTTTTTTGTGTTGAGTTCTAAGCCAAGTTTTTCACTCTCTTCTTTCACCTTCATCAAGAGGTTCTTTAGTTTCCCTTTGCTTTCTGCCATTAGGGTGCTGCCATCTGCATATCTGTGGTTCTCAGTATTTCTCCTGGCAATTTTGATTTCAGCTTGAGCTTCACCCATTCCAGCATTTTGCTTGATGTGCTCTGCATCTAATTTAAATAAACCGGGTGAAAATATATAGCCTTGATATACTTCTTTCCCAATTTTACCAGTTCATTGTTCCATGTCTGGTAATGAGCAAAAGACAAATTCAGCTTTAGGAGATATTGTGGGCTGACTGATCTAGTGATTTTTGTCACCCAGTTCACCTCGAGGACCTCAGTGGCTCAGTGAGTAAAAATCTGTCTGGAATGTAGGAGACATGGGTTTGATCCTTGGGTTGAGAAGATCCCCTGGATATGGAAATGACTATCTACTTCTGTTTTCTTGCCTGGAAATTCCCCCGGACAGAGGATTTCAATTTGTCTTGAAGGAAAAAAATTGCTTTTTAAATTATAATTCCTTACCAAGATATCATCAACTTTGTCAGATATTTCTAGGCCTGAGTGTTATATTTTAAAGTAATCTCTGGATGTGATCCCTAACAAATCCGTAACTGAACCTCAATGTATCCCACTTATCCAAATTTCAAATTTCAACAGTAAAAAAAGCATCTAAGCATATAAAATACTATATATGGCATATCAAACCTCCAAACCTTGAGTATCCTATGGACCATACTTAGGAAATGGCCATAATTCTGATGACCCGGACAAGTAGGCAATAATTTTTGTGTAATTATTTTCTTAACCCTTGAAAGTCTGAGTCCCAGAAGGAAGCTGATGGCATATACAAACTGGGTGCTTTAAATAAACTATTTGGAAAAGTGAGTGCAGGTAACAGAGAACCCTAGAGCTGGTGAAGGAAGGTTGACATTACCCCTGAATAGAAATAAGTATATTTACTAGAAGGCGAGAAATGCATATAAGAGAGTAGTCTGACAGGATCTGAGACCATTGGCTATGAGCCAAATCCAGCCCATGGAGCCCTCCCCACCTGCTCCCTCACCAGGTATCTCAGAAATAACAATAACCTCATTCTTCTCCTTTCCTTGAATCGTCTGCTATGCCCTCTATTGGCTGAAACCAACTCAAAGTGCTGTGTTGTATAATGGAGAATAGATACACAGGTTCATAAAGAAGAGACTCAGCACATCCTCAATTTTAAAATGCTACAGTTCCTGTGCTCTAGATTTTGACTGGATATGGAGTAAATATGACTGAAGAATTTTGTTTTCTGGCCTCAGACTCATATTTTTAGTTATGTCTTGTATTGCATGGTAAGCATAGTGATTTTTAAATCTCTCATCCTTCTACTCTCGCCTAATCTGGCATCCCTTTATATCTAACCACTTTAACTTTCAAATCAACTTTTCTACTTTTACCTCATTTAGTGACATGTACTGAGCTCAATCTGTGGTTGAGAAACAGTCTTAGGTCTGTTGGTGAGGAGATTATGTGACCCAGTCTCTGCCACTGCACTGTCTGGTGGACAAGACAAATACAGAGATGAAATTCCCCAATATTGTGGAGTAACAAAAAATATATGAACAAAGCTTCATAGACCTATATCTGTAAGGTGTCAACTTTGCAGCCACATTTCATAGAATACCAAAAAGACTTGAGTCTATACTCAAGGCAATATATTTCTCTTTATTTAAATTAATAAAATGGCAAACATTATAATTAGGCCTTCTATTGATTGCGGGGGCAGGGGGTGGTTGGAGGCATGGGATGTGGCAGCTTGAAGCAGGATCTTAGTTCCCTGACCAGGGATCAAACCCAGGCCATGGAACTGAGAGTGCCAAATCCTAACCATTAGACCATGAGACCCCATTGGTTTGATGCAGGACCTTGGTGCTTGTCTCCTTTGAAGAAAGAATTTATCAAAGAGACAAAAGGTGGTGAAGCAAGTAAATCATTTACTAGAAGCAAAGTACATGTGGAAAGACATACTGGCAGGCTCAGAGAGAGTTGTGTTTTTGTGGTGGCTTAAATTGCTTATAAGAGGGCGGTTTTCCTAGTTCTCTCTGGCCAACCATGTTGTTTCATCTTGTTTTGTGCCCATATTTTGTCTGACTCAGGGCCCTCTCTGATATGCACTCACATCTTTTAGCCAAAATGAATTCCAGCATGAGGTTCTCTGTGAGATTGGTAGACATAATGTGGGCTAGTGCCTCCTCCCTTTTTTGACCCCTGAGGAACCTTTAGGCAAATGGGTAGTTAGGGAGATCTCTTTGACCTAAAGAAAAAAAAAAATGTGGGCTCCTCCTGCCCAGCTCCCGCAAGCCCCAGGTCCCCTAGGCCCACGCCATGTGCTCTTTCTCCAGCACCTCCCAGGGAGCCCAGTGCACCCTTCTGTGTCCTGCCCCACCTGTCCCCTCGGGTTGCCACCCACTGTCCCCATTCCATGACAACCCAGCAAACAGTCCTCCAGGGCCCGGGACACTGGGGCTTCCACCTCCTGGTGGGAAAGGACTTCGAACAGCCTCTCTCCATTTCCTGGGTCACTCCTGGAAGGAAGGTTGCTGTAGGTAATTTATGTGTTGGAGATGTAACCACAGCCATCCATGGGGAAAATACCAGCAATATGACATGTTGGAAGGTCAGAACAAAATCAAGGGCTGCACAGACAACATGACTCTCCCATCAGCCAGACCTGAACAGAAAATCTGGTCTCCTCTGGTGACAGAGGAAGGGAAATGTCACCCAAACAAGATGAATTTAGCCTCTGAGCCCCAAGAGGCCCTCCATGTAGGAAGCACCCCCAGCCGCAGTGCTGGGCCCTTTACCGCCTCACTTGCCTCCAGCTCTGCCCCTAGGGTCATCACAAACCAGTACAACAACCCAGCTGGCCCCTACTCCTTTGAAAACATCTCCAGCTTCAACAGTGCCTTGGAGTCAAAGACAGCAGCCAGAGGGCAGGAGACAAATGGCAAAGCCTTAGACCATTCTCAGCTTCCAAGCAGACTCCTCATCGACAAAGAATCTGAAGTTTACGAGATGCTCCAGGAGAAACAGGAGTTAAATGAGCCTCTGAAACAGTCCACTTCGTTCCTGGTATTGCAGGAAATTCTGGAGTCTGAGGAGAAAGGGGATCCCAACAAGTCCTCGGGATTCAGGAGTGTTAAGGCTCTGGTCACCAAAGTGGTTGCATCGATTGGAAATGCCCAGAAGCTGCCCATGTGTGAGAGATGTGGCACCCGCGTTGGCGTGTTCATGACGCTGTGGGACCATCACCGCCACCTTGTGTTACCTGTACACTGTCTGTGGCACCAACCTGAAAGAGAAGGGCCATTTCTTCGTGGAGGATCAGATCTACTGTGAAAAGCATGCCTGGAAGCGGGTCACTCCACCCGAAGGCTACGACGTGGTCACAGTGTCCCCCAAGTAGCCGGCAGTTCTTGCCCAATGCTGCTCTCCAAGCAGTCCCTGCTGCATTTTGCCTTCTAGAAGCTCTGGCCTTTCTCTTCTTCCGAGCTTGCACTTACTTTGGTTTTATTGCTGCTTATTCAACACCACGTTCCCTTTTGCTAACAGCTCATGCTGGCTGTGTGATGCCCGCTTTTATAATTAAGGGAAGATGGTCTTGTTCGGTGTCCCTTTGCCAGCATCACTGTGTCGTTTCTTTCCCCCCATTCACCTCTGCTGCAAACGGACATCAGCCAAATTTGAATGAAACTGAATTTAATATGTTTGACAATGACTTGTTTTTACTCAATAAATTAATAGACTTCAAAAAAAGAGAAATGGAGTCGTCTTGCCTTTTCACTCAAGCAGAGTTCAGCTCCTCTCTGTTCCTGCCTTAATCTTTTCCTTCAAGCGTGTCAACAGGAAACATGCTCCAGCTGCTCAGCCTGGGGACCCATTTACCTCCTCTCTCATTGAGACTCTGTATGTGAAAAACATACAGGCTCACAATGTAGACTAAATTACTTCAGCTCGAGAGAGTTTTTTCATTTGAGTTTAGTTAGTGTGAGTTGACTAAGTGTGGTGCTAGAGCGGTGAGCTGCGGCTGTGGCTGGGCGATCGGCCATGTGGAGATACACCACGTCCAAGGTCAGGAGTGGTGGCTACGCTTTGCAGGAGCGGCTGTGAGGAGATACCCCACCTCTAAGGGCAGAGGTGCCCCAGCAAGACGGTAGGAGAGGCGAATTCGTGTTTAGAATAAAACCCCATTCCCACCAGAGATGCTCAGAGGGCGCAAACAAACCTTGTGTGCAACAGAACCCCAGAGACCCCACAGAAACTGAGACAGAACTGTGTCTGAGCATCTCCTGTGGAGGCACAGGTCAGTAGTGGACTGACGCAGGGACAGGGGCTCTGGGTGCAGCAGACGTGGGTATGCCATGAGGCTTCTTTGAGGAGATTGCCATTAACCCCACCATAGACCACCAGGACTGGGAAATACACTCTTGCAGGATATAACAGAATCTTGTGCACACCAGGACACAGGAGAAAGTAGCAGTGACCCCACAAGAGACTGATTCAGACTTGCCCGGGAGTGTCCAGGAGTCTCCAGCAGAGGTGTGGGTTGGTGGTGGCCTGCTGCAGGGTTGGGGACGCTGAGTATAGCAACACATGCGTGGAGTCTTTTGAAGGAGGTCGCCGTTATCTTCATTACCTCCACCATAGTTTGGCCCCAGGTAAATAGCGGGAGGGAATACAGCTTCACCCATCAACAGAAAATTGGATTAAAGATTTACTTATACAGTGGAATGGAGAAACATATTTAAGGGACTAGATCTGATAGATAGAGTGCCTGATGAACTATGGACGGAGGTTCTGACATTGTACAGGAGACAGAGATCAAGACCATCCCCATGGAAAAGAAATGCAAAAAAGCAAAATGACTGTCTGAGGAGGCCTTACAAATAGCTGTGAAAAGAAGAAAAGGGAAAAGCAAAGGAGAAAAGTAAAGATATTCCCATTTGAATACAAAGTTCCAAAGAATAGCCAGGAGAGATAAGAAAGCCTTCCTCAGCCATCAATGCAAAGAAATAGAGGAAAACAACAGAATGGGAAATACTAGAGATCTCTCCAAGAATATTAGAGATACCAAGGGAACATTTCATGCAAAGATGGGTTCGATAAAGGACAGAAATGGTATGGACCTAACAGAAGCAGAAGATATTAAGAAGAGGTGGCAAGAATACACAGAAGAACTGTACAAAAAAGATCTTCACGACCCAGATAATCACGATGGTGTGATCACTCACCTAGAGCCAGACATCCTGGAATGTGAAGTCAAGTGGCCCTTAGAAAGCATCACTACAAACAAAGCTAGTGGAGGCGATGGAATTGCAGTTGAGTGATTTTAAATCCTAAAAGATGATGCTGTGAATGTGCTGCACTCAATATGCCAGCAAATTTGGAAAACTCAGGAGTGGTCACAGGACTGGAAAAGGTCAGTTTTCCTTCCAATCTCAAAGAAAGGCAATGACAAAGAATGCTCAAGCTACCGCACGATTGCATTCATCTCACATGCTAGCAAAGTAATGCTCAAAATTCTCCAAGACAGGCTTAAACAGGACATGAATCTTGAATGTCCAGATGTTCAAGCTGGTTTTAGAAAAGGCAGAGGAAACAGAGGTAAAATTGCCAACATCTGCTGGATCATCAAAAAAGCAAGAGAGTTCCAAAAAAACATCTATTTCTGCTTTATTGACTATGCCAAAGTGCTTTACAGTGTGGATCACAATAAACTGTGGAAAATTCTGAAAGAGATGGGAATACCAGACCACCTGACCTGCCTCTTGAGAAACCTGTATGCAGGTCAGGAAGCAACAGTTAGAACTGGACGTGGAGCAACAGACTGGTTCCAAATAGGAAAAGGAGTACGTCAAGGCTGTATATTGTTACCTTGCTTATTTAACTTATATGCAGAGTATATCATGAGAAATGCTGGGCTGGAAGAAGCACAAGCTGGAACCAAGATTGCCAGGAGAAATATCAATAACCTCAGATATGCAGATGATGCCACCCTTATGGCAGAAAGTGAAGAGGAACTAAAGAGCCTCTTGATGAAAGTGAAGTAGGAGAGTGAAAAAGTTGGCTTAAACTCAACATTCAGAAAACTAAGATCATGGCATCTGGTCCCATCACTTCATGGGAAATAGATGGGGAAAGAGTGGAAACAGTGTCAGACTTTATTTTTGGGGGCTCCAAAATCACTGCAGATGGTGACCACAGCCATAAAATTAAAAGACACTTATTCCTTGGAAGAAAAGTTATGACCAACCTAGATAGCATATTAAAAAGAAGATTCATTGCTTTGCCAACAAAGGTCCATCTAGTCAAGGCTATGTTTTTTCCAGTGGTCATGTATGGATGTGAGAGTTGGACTAAAAAGAAAGCTGAGAGCCAAATAATTGATGCTTTTGAAATGTGGTATTGGAGAAGACTCTTGAGAGTCCCTTGGACAGCAAGGAGATCCAACCAGTCCATCCTAAAGGAAATCAGTCCTGAATAATCACAGGAAGGACTGATGCTGAGGCTGAAGCTCCAATACTTTGGCCACCTGATGGGAAGAACGAACTCATTTTTAAAGACCCTGATGCTGGGAATGATTGAGGGCAGAGAAGGGGAAGACAGAGAATGAGATGGTTGGATGCCATCACCAACTCAATGGACATGAATTTGAGTAAACTTGGAAGTTGGTGATGGACAGGGAGGCCTGGCGTGCTGCAGTCCATGGGGTCGCAAAGAGTCAGTCATGATTGAGCAATTGAACTGAACTGAAGTGAAGTGAGTGTGTGTTCATACTGGAAAGATAGATATAACTTTAAAGTGGTGATATTTTGAGACTTGAAGAGTGGAGTAGGATCCTGAGGAGGGTGTTTTACCTAAGAAACTTTAGTTCATTTTCAGAAGTCTTTTAGGAGAAAATGTGCAAACGCTTTCCAAATAAGTGCACATACTCTCCAACATTGCAGCATATTAATTTATTGTTAAGATTATTATACTATCAACACAACATGCAAGAAGCATGGGAGAGTTATGAAATTATAAAATGCATGTGTTTGTGTGTGTGTATAAGAGAGAAATAGGAGGTGTGTAAAAGAGAAATTGGAGGAGTGGGGTGTGGGAGATTGGAAATGAGCTAAGAATTGCCAAATTTTATTAAATTAATGACATAAATTGTGAATGATATGTCATAATTTGGTCATAAATCAGAATATGAGGTTGAAATTATTCATAAAACAAAATTTAAAATAAAACCAAGAAAACTGTGAGCCATGGGAGAATTTGGATAGACATTATTATATCCTAGTAACAGGGAGAGAGTAAGTTGTTTAAATAATTAAATAGTTAAATGTTGTTGCTGTTAAGTCACTTTAGTCGTGTCCGACTCTGTGTGACCCCATAGGCGGCAGACCATCAGGCTCTTCTGTCCCTGGGATTCTCCAGGCAAGAATACTGAAGTGAGTTGCCGTTTCCTTCTCCAATGCATGCGTGCATGCTAAGTCGCTTCAGTTGTGTCCGACTCTGCGACCCCACGGACAGCAGTCCACCAGGCTCCTCTGTCCACAGGATTCTCCAGGCAAGGATACTCAAGTGGGTTGCCATTTCCTTCTCCACTAGGATATTATAAATAGGGAAAAAATATAGGAGACCCCTGTAAGTTAATGATCACTCAAGAAAACAGCCTTGCTTAACAGCAAAGCCAAGCAAGCTTGCCTAGCAACAAAACCAAGTTAACTTGCTTGGCGACAAAACCATGTAAAAGTAGCACAAGACATGGCTCCGAACAACCAAGTAATGTTGGAATAAGACCTGCATCTTGCCCGTTGAAGTTAGCAAGTTAAGGATCCTTGAGAAAGGGCTTGTTCTGCATGTACTAAATATGGGGGAGAATAGGTGAAAGGTGACATTATAATGAAACCTGACATGAACTACCATATTTAAGCACTATCTACCCCTTTTCACTCATTTCCACAGCACCTTGACAGTTCCAGTTTGACCAAGTAAGGACAAGAAGACTCCACCACCTGACACTGAGGAGGAGCTGTTTTGCAAAAGTTTTCACTTTTGTCTCAAGTTCAAAGGATTTGTTAACAAAATAAGCCACTAGTTATATATAAACAATTAATTCCAATATTTATTAGCAAATTTTCTAGCTTACTTTCAATATACTAACATTAAAAGAAGAGAGAAATAGAAACGGCACAGGACACATCAACAAATTTTGTTTTGGCCAATATCCAGACTTAAACAGTGCTGGGAAGTCCCATGTCAAGCACATCTGGAGCCCCAGTTGGGAAAGAGTTTCAGGTAGTGGGTCTGCTCCTTGGGTGAAATTTCAAAATTTGCAGCTCAGTTTTCCC